GACACCGACTCTGCCATACCTTCATCTTGGACCTCCAGCCTCCGAGAACCGTGAGCAATAAATGTCTGTGGTTTGTAAGCTACCCAGTCGGTGGGGTTTTGCTACAACCTGAATGGACTGACTTGGGGCATTAATAAGAGCCCAGCGACACGGAGAGGAAAGGAAATTCTGGCCAAATCACGCGAACCAAGGACAGCAGAAACCTACCAGTATAAGCACTTTAGATCTGAGAACCATGTGTCATTAATTATTAAGATCTCCTGGCTTTTAAGAAAATAAAATATTTTCAGATCGTATAGGTGTGAAAGTTTCTTTTAAAAAAAAAGTATCTAGACAGGCACGGTGGCTCACACCTGTAATCCCAGCACTTTAGAAGGCCAAGACGGGAGAATCACCTGAGGTCAGGAGTTTGAGACCAGCCTGACCAACATGGACAAACTCTGTCTCCACTAAAAATACAAAATTAGCCGGGCATGGTGGCACGCGCCTGCAATCGCAGCTACTCAGGAGGCTGAGGCAGGAGAAATGCTTAAACCCGGGACGCGGAGGTTGTGGTGAGCCAAGATCTCGCCATTGTACTTCAGCCTGGGCAACAAGAGCAAAACTCTCAGGGGAAAAAAAAAAAGTATCGAGCAAGATGGAGTGGTCTGTGGTGGGGGAATTCATTCTGCACCATGGTTTACAGGATGGTAGCTGCCCAAATCCACACACTGGGTGAAACTGCACAGAACTCTACACGTACACACACTCGCAAACGGAAGCCAGTGCGATGGCTCATGCCTGTATACGATCCCAGCACTTTGGGAGGTTGAGGCAGGAGGCTCGCTTGATGCACCAAGAGTATAAGACCTGGACAACATAGTGAGACTCTGCCACTAAGCAAATTAGCCAGGTATGGTGATGCATGCCTGTAGTTCCAGCTACTTGGGAGGCTGAGGTGGGAGGATCACTGGAGCCCAGGAGTTCAAGGCTGGAGTGGGCCAAGATTGCACAGCTGCACTCCAGACTGGGCAACACAGTGAGACCCTGCCTAAAAAAAAAAAAAAAAAAAAAAAAAGCTGAACGAGGTATGTGTTCTCTTTAATAGGGACATACCAATGCCAATGACATGGTTCTGACATTGTCCCACAGATATGAAGAAGTCACCGTGGGGAAGCTGGCTGAAGTACATGAGACTCCAGGTCCTGTTCTGAAATCTGCTGAGTCTGTATTTCAAAATACATATACTTTTCATAGGGATCCGGGAACTTTGCAATCTTACTCATAGAAACCGTGTAGGACAGGTTGTTAGTATTTCCCTTTTTTTTTAGACGAGGCAGTGCAGAAGTAGGTTGAGAAAAGGAAAGGGAAATGTGGACCCGAGGACTGGCCACCGTCACCTGAATGACTCCCTCCTGGCAGGCTAACACGGGGTGCCCAGGAGAAGTGAGCACTGGCTCGTAGATGCCAAATGATTCGATAAGGAGGTTTTTGGAATAAAACCTAAGTATTTTTTATCTGATACATAGAGAAAGTAATTCTCAAGTGGTCATCGTAAGTAGGAAGACAAAATAAGGCTGAGTGGCGGCTGAACGGAGAGTCATCCCCTTCTCTCTACGTAGCGTAAGTTTCTCATTTCCAAAATATAATTTTTTTAATTTTATTTTTTAGAGAGAGGATTTCACTCTACCGCCCAGGCTGGAGGACAGTGGTGCGATTGTGGTTGGCTGCAGCCTTGACCTCCAGGGCTCAGGTGAGCCTCCTGCCACAGATTCCCAGGTAACGAAGATAACAGGAGGTAGGTACATGCCACCATGATCAGCTAACTATTATTACTATTTTTTTTTTTTTAAGAGATACAGGTCTCGCTATGTTGCCCAGGCTGGTCTGGAACTCCTGGCCTCAAGCCATCCTCCCACCGCGACCTCCCGAATAGCTGGGACTACAGGCACGCGCCACTGTAACCTGGCCCTCAATTTTCTTTTTTTAAAGCACAATTGTTCTCTCTCATAGGAGCAAGCATGGCTTGGTTATGTGAACAAGAAATCTGAATAACCAGATTCGAAACCATTTTTTCCTCTAAGGAGTAGTATGGCTGTTCTGATGCAAAGTTCCTAAAACTATTAAATCAGCCTTTAGACCAGACATACTCCAGAATCCCTTCATGCACGAAAAAGAAAAAAAAAAAAAAAAAAAAAAATCCCATTATCAGATTTTTCACAACTGCAAACTGCACTTTCTTCCTAGCTCCCTGAACTTCAGGAAAACTGGTCAATCTTTTTGTTTTCCCTCCAACACCCAAGGCTGGAGTGCAGTGGTGTGATCTTGGCTCGCTGCAATCTCCACCTCCTGGCCCTGCTTCAGCCTCCCAAGTGGCTGGGATTACAGGCGCCCACCACCACGTCTGGCTACATTTTTCTATTTTTTCATTGGAGACAGGATTTGGCCATGTTTCTCAGGCTGGTCTCGAACTCCTGAGTGAAAGTGATCCACCTGCCTTGGCCTCCCAAAGTGCTAGGACTACAGACATGAGCCACCAGGCCCAGCTTGTGACTGGCTTAGAAAATAGGATTGCTCAACTGGCAGTCTGCGTAGAGATCCCCTCTGCCCACTCCTCAAAAAGTTCAGTACTCCCGGGGGGTAATTGTTTGGGGCCTGAGAGAATCAGGAATGAGGAGAAAGAGCACTTCAAAGCGAACTTATGTTCCTGCGGCGACAGCTCAGGATGAAGAGAAGTCACGTCCACCCAGACTGGTTCCACCTCCAGACTGAGGCTCCAGCTCGCCCTCACTCTTCCCCATCACGCCTTACAAAGCACTCCAAAGGCTGCTGTCGATTGTGGCTGAGAGACACAATCGCAAAGGCTCTTAAACGGCTTAGGATTTTTAAAAAATAAGTTATTCTAATTTTTGTAGGTGAATCACTCGCAGATTGTTCTTTAACCAACAATAAAGAAAGGGGCTCGGATAAAAGGCCGCAGACAATGTCACCAAAGCTGTGAAGTTGTCATGAGAGTGTTCCAGACATGCACATGCACACACACACACACACACACACACACCCCGGGTCCTGGTCCCCTGTTGTCCAATGAGTGTGGAATACCTAGCTCTCCTGTCACACCCTTGGAGCCCACAGGAAGTTATCCTTGAGAAAGGAGCATCATCCTCATTAAGAGAGCACTGACTGGGACTGGGAGAAAAAAAAAAAAGCTGATTTCCTCGCTTAGCCAGCTTGGTCCCTAGAGGCAGTGACACTCTATTTTTAAGGATGAGGTTACCCGCTGGGTACCCTAAGCTGACAACGTCACACTGAGTGGTCCCCTGTGGCACCAGAACCCCTCACCTCTGCCGCCCTCCTGCCCACATCCTGCTCTCGAAGCCGGCCACCAGCCTGGGGAGCTGGGGCGCTCCACCTTTCCCAAGGGACCCATGTGGGCAGCCCCGAAGAATGACGAACGCTGGTGCTGCGTGCCAAGGAGCAGCTGGACCTCATCAATTTTCCACTGTTGAGTTGGATTTCCACCTACTGTGGCAGCTGCACCAGTCAGGGTTCCCGCCCCGCCCTTCTCCCCCCCCCCCCCCCCCCCGCAAAGCACACCCTGCTCTCAGATTAGCCCAGGACAGCTTTCGGGGGCACCAAGAGAAGGGGCAAGGCAGAGAGAGAGGAGGGAGGGAGCCAGAAACAGAGACAGAGAAACCAGGACAGGAAGGGGACAGGGAGAAAGACGCAGAGAGACAGAGGAGGAGAAATGCTGAGAGACACGAACGGAGAGACAGACAGAGGGAGAGAGAGACAGAGAAACCGAGAGAGAGAGAGAAAGAGGCGGGGAGGGAGGGAGAGGTGAAAGAGAGGGGGCCTCCTGCCACTCTGTCCTTCCAAACTCGGGCTTTCCTCGTGGGCCCTTCCTCAAGGCCTAGGTGGCAAAGAAAGAGGCCACTGAAGGAAGCAAAGCCTCCTCTTCCTCAGTGGTTCTGAAGGCACCTGAGCTATGCCCGCTGGTCTTCCTAAGCCAGAAGCTATGACCTCGAGTCCTTAGGCTTCCCAGTCCAGTTTCCTCCTTTGCAAACGGGAGGACAAACAGCAGTCAGGGGCCTGAGACCGCCACCGCACCACCACAGCCAGAACACCCCCCTCCGCTCTCCATTTATTTTCTTGCCAACCAACTCCCCACGTAGCCATACGGAGTCCCTAAGAGGCATTGGCCGACAGGTGTCAACCGTTTAAATCCAGCGCCCACTGTTCGGTGGGGACATTCTGACGCAGTCGGGGCTGCCCCATAAACAGCGCGGGTCCGGATCCAAGCGCACAGAGAACTCGAAACCTCTTCGTCAAGCTGCCCGTTCGGGGTTAAGTTCAAAGGCAGAGGACAAAGGAAACGGAGGAAGTCTCCAATACAAGAATCACCCACTTCAGACGCACGAGACCAAAAGCACAGGTAGTGTCAGGAAATGTTAGGATCCGTCCCCAACGCCACCGTCCAAGTCCCCACAGAGCCACGGGACACCCGTCCCCCGGAGCCCAGCTGCTCCCGAAGACCCTGGAGAAATGTGTGCATTCTCCACCGAGGACCCTGCCGCTGGGCACTCGGGGAGGCTGGCCTGGGGGACGCCCGCTGGGGCCTTCGGACCCAGTCCGTGTCCCTGGGGCCGCTGCCTGGGAGGGCGCACGAGGTCCCCCAGGCGCGGTGACCCGCAGGAAGTTTTGTGACGTCGGGTGGTCCAGGCCCCGGGGTGCTGAGTGTGCTGGGGGTGGAGGGTGGTCTCCGAGAGGAGCCGTCGGCGTTCCAGGAAAGGCACCGGCCGGTCGGGGGAACTGCCTGGGCTGGGGGGTGCGCTCCACTTCGCCGAGCACCCGCCGGGGAGACCCAGGGCGCAGGGGCAGCCCGAACGGGGACCCCGAGCCGGAGCGGCGGGGCAGGGCCCTCCCCATGAGGCCGGCACCCGGGGCCCTTTGTCCTACGACGGCGTCCCGGTCGCGCCGCTCGCCCATGCGGGCCCGAGTCCCCGCGAACACTCACTCACCCACGGTGGCCAGCGTGTCGAAGTCCTGCAGCCGGTAGGCGGGCGACTCTGGCGACCGCGCCTCCGGGCTGGGGCAGAGTGCGGGCGCCCCGTCGGGGCTCCCCCCCGCCACCTCTCGGGGGTCGCTGTCCGCCGCGGCCGCCTGGGCCAGCCCGGGCGCCTCCATGGGGACGCACTCAGGTCCGGGGCGCTGAGCCGGGCCGGAGCGCTCAGGGAGCCGGGATTCCCGGGAGGCAGCCTCGGAGGGCGGCGCGGCGGCGGCGGCGGCATCAACGGAGGCTCCCCATGCGCGCCCTCGCCTCCCGGTGCGCGGCCCGGAGCGGCTGACGGAGTGGCAGGGACAATGGCTGGGCGGTGCTCACGGCACAAACATCAGCAGCCCCGGGTGGGAGCAGCCGCCGGCCTCGAGGGGCGGGCACGGAGCGCCGGGCGGCGGCGGGGAAGGCGGGGGCCGCGGCCCGGGCTGGGGGGGCGAGGCGGGGGCCCTGCGCATTCCCGAAGTCGCGTCCGCGCCTCCTTCTGCTCAGCTGCCGCGTGAGCGCTGATGGGGCGGGCGGAAGCCGCCTGGGCGTGACCGCGCCTCTCCCCGCCCCCACCCGGCCGCGGGGGTTGGGGGCGTCGCCTTCGCGCGCGCTCCGCCCCCGCCGCGACCCCGCCCAGGAGCCGGAGACCCGGACTTGCGGGTGGCTCTGGCCACCGAGGGTAGGCGCTGCGCTGGCTCCTCCGCTCCCGGGGCGCCCCTGGGGTGGCACCCAGGCCGACCTCTCCCTGGGGACGCGCAGGCGGGCCACCCGGGTCGCTGCGCCCAAGCCCGTAAGATGGGGAGGCGACAGGGCCGGGGGACCGGGAGGGCCCGGGAACGGGGAGTGCGTGGCTCAGCAAAAGTAAAGTTAAGAAATTAAAAACTGAAATTGACGTTTGGTGAGGAGAGGGGCTCTGCTTCGCCTGGCACCTCAGGAGGCGCGCTGCGCGCGGATCTTCACGAGGGGCTGCGGGGTCTGGGGGACGAGGTCAGCGTCCTGGTTTTGCTATAGGACTCTGGTGATTCCAGATTTCTACTTGGAAGGTGCGGGGAAGGGTGGGTGTGACCCGGTGCGTTTCTTTGCAGCTTCCTGTGGATCTAGAATTCTTTCCAAATAAACATTTCTTTAAAGAACTGGGGAAAGGCAGATTTGAGAGATCGCCCGACCAAATGTAGTACGTGAAACTTGATTGGCCACTGGTTTAAACACCCAGGCGACAACTCGTTAAAGAATTGTGCAGACGCATTTCCATTTTAGAAACGCAAAGATTTTTTTTTTTTCTGGCTTAAGTGTGGCTCAGGCAATACTTGGACATACTTATATTTTAAAACCCTATGCGTGTGGATTTGAAATGAAAATATACCTAGACATTTGGGCACCCCTTTCCTTAGGGAAATACAGACAGTGCTTCAGCGTTCGGGCCTGGCACGGCCCGGACGCTGCGCTCCTGACCCGCGACCAGGGCGGCTCGGGCTGCCGGTTCGAGGAACACACTTTGAGCAGCAAGGGGTCAAACTGCAAACCCCCTTATTTTGAGGAATCTCAGCGATTCTACGACTGGAGGGGATCTCCAGTCCCTCAGTCCTCTGGTCACAGGGGCTTTCCGAGAGGCGAAGAGACCTCTAAGTCAGAATGGACACATTTTTAAGGGGACCAGGCCGAGCCATTTTGCGCGGCGAACAGGGAGGGGGCTTCAGAAAGTCTGAACGCGGCTCAGGGTTTGGATTTCTGACCCCTGGCTGCCAGCCTCGCCTCAGCCCGCACCTGCATTTAGTGGGCGGCATTTCTCCGCCGGGGTGACACCCGCTCTCCATGCTCTGCAAAATCCTGAGCTGGAATGCAAAACACGTGCGACACCAGCAGGCCCCCGCCATCCCCTGAGCCTGGTTAGGACAGGACACAGCCCTGCCAAGCCCTGCCTGGCCGAGGGGTTCAGGGCCAGCCAGGAACTTGCACTCAGAACAACTTCGTGTTTCCCCGCGGAACGCGCGCCCTCTCCACGAGGGCCTCACCTTGGAAACGCAAGCTGCGGGCTCACAAAGTCCTTTTAATCATGGCCGGGGTTTCACACCCAATTAAGCACATGTCTTTGCCTGCAAATTGTACCCAGGAAAAAGTGTGGCACAGAATTGCAGCGTTAAACTCTGCTGGGGCTGCTGGCTAGTCTGATTCCACCGATCCCACCCTGACCTTGACCACATGGCTACCTCTTCTTACAAATATGCCCTGCACGTTGCACACCTTGCTTCACAAAGCAGCTTTCATCTGGAAGGATCACAAAAATCCTTGAGAAACCACAGCCTATTACTTGAGAGACAAAAAAGAAAAATCCCTGTAAGTTAGGCATGGAAGGGTCATTACTGCCTTAATGAAGCAGCATTATTTTTCGGTGGAGTCAGGAAATGCTGACCTCTGCCATTCTGGAGGAATGAGTCCCCAACCCAGTGAGCTATAAATTCAATACAATGATAGGTGCAGGTGTTGTTAAATATGAGAGGAATCAAAATTGTACCATCTGGCCGAGCGCAGTGGCTCACACCTGTGATCTCAGCACGTTGGGAGGCGCAGGGCTTTGAGATCAGTCTGGGCAACATTGGAAGCCCCCCCCATCTCTGCCAAAAAAAATTTTTTAACTAGTCAGTTGTGGTGGTGCTCACCTATAATCCCAGCACATGCAGAGACGAAGGCATGAGGATGCCTTGAGCCCAGGAGGTCAAGGCTGCAGTGAGCTATGACTGTGCCACCGCCCTTCAGCCTGGGCAACACAGTGACACCATCTATGAAGGGAGCTGATCACTCTTTAAGCATGTATACTGTGTGTGTTTGTGTATGTATGTATGTGTGTGTATATAATGTATATATAATACCAATTACATATAACATATACTGAGTTAAATATATATTTGTGTATGTGTATGTGTATGTATTTTGCATAAATGATGTATAAAATATATATATTTCTATATATGTCGAGATAAAATCTTTTTTGTTCTATTTTTAGTTTTCATTTTTATATATTGAGGAGGTACAAGTGTAGATTTTCTGTTTCTCAGTAATTTTGCTTAAGATAATGGCCTCCACTTCCATCCATGTTGCTGCAAAGATATATTTCATTCTCTTTTACGGCTGCATAGTATTCCATGGTGTGTGTGTGTATAAAACATATTCTTGTCCAAGTGCGGTGTTTCACGCCTGTGATCCCAGCACTTTGGGAGGACAAGGCGGGTGGTTCATCTGAGGTTAGGAGTTCAAGACCAGCCTCGCTGACATGGCGAAACCCCGTCTTTACTAAAAATACAAAAATTAGCTGGGCATGGCCTGTAATCTCAGCTACTACGAAGGCTGAGGCAGGAGAATTGCTTGAGCCCAGGAGGCGGAAGTTGCAGTGAGCCAAGATCATGCCACTGCCCTCCAGCCTGGGCAACAAGAGCAAGACTGCCTCAAGAAAAAAACAAAACAAACAAAAAAACCATTTTCTTTATCTAGTCATCCATTGATGGACACTGGGGTTAGTTCTATATCTTTGCTATTGCAAATAGCACTGTGATTGACATCCAGGTGGTGAGACATAGTGGCTCATGCCTGTAATACCAGAACGTTGGGAGGCCAAGGCAGGTGAATCACCTTACGTCAGGAGTTCAAGACCAGCCTGACCAACATGGTGAAACCCCATATCTACTAAAAATGCAAAATTAGCTGGGTGTGGTGACACACGCCTGTAATCCCAGCTACTTGGGAGGCTAAGGCAGGAGAATCGCTTGAACCCGGGAAGCAGACATTGTAGTGAGCTGAGATCACACTATTGTCCTCCAGCCTGGTTAACAGAGCAAGACTCCATCTCAAAAAAATAAATAAATAAATACAAGTGCAGCTGTCTTTCTGATAGATGATTTCTTTCCCTTTGAGCAGATACCCAGTAGTGGCATTGCTGGATTGAATGATAGTTCTCTTCTTAGTTCTTTGAGAAATATATATACTGAGATAAAAAAATAAGAAAGTAGGCAGTTACTATCACAAACTTTACAATTGATGTATATGTATAAAAAAACATGTAAATGTATATTCTAGTATATTTTATAGAATATATATTCTAATGTGTGTATATATATATGAAGTGTTTAGCCACCTTCACAGACATGTATACACACATACATATATATGTATTCTGAGTTAAACATATATATCATATATGTATATGTGTGTATATATATGTGTGTGTGTATATGTATATATTTATGTTGCAACTTATCAACCTAAACATATGCTTCAGCTTCCTTTTTGATCTGCCATCTGTGGTGAAGCTGCCACCAAAATGCAGATTTTCGTGAAAACCCTAACAAGGAAGACCATCACCCTGAAGGTTGAACCCTTGGATACGACAGAAAATGTAAAGGCCAAGATCCAGGATCAGGAAAGAATTCCTCCAGCAAAGACTGATCTTTGCTGGCAAGCAGCTGGAAGATGGACGTACTTTGTCTGACTGCAACATTCAAAAGGAGTCCACTCTTCATCTTGTGTTGAGACTTTGTGGTGCTGCTAAGAAAAGGAAGAAATCTTACATTACTCCCAAGGAGAATAAGCACAAGAGAAAGAAGGTGAAGCTGGCTGGCCTGAAATATTATAAGGTGAATGAGAATGGCAAAATTAGTCCTGTTCTGATGACTGTGGGGCTGGACTGTTTATGGCAAGCCACTTTGACAGACATTATTGTGGCAAATGTTGCCTGACTTACTGCTTCAACAGACCAGAAAACAACTAACTGTGTATGAGTTAATAAAAGACATGAACTAAACAACAACAATAAAAACATATGCTTCAGAAATACGGAGTGCCTCAATACTTTGTTATTTGACCAAGCTGGAAGAGGTCTTCCCAGGGCATCTGGAAAGGGGTCCTGCAAGCAATATAGTGATCAATTCCTGTCTAGATTGAGCCAGGGATGGAATCTCTATCATTGCCTGAGGATAAACCCACCTATGATTTGGTCTTAGAAGGCAGGCAGGGAATTCTGATAGTTGTTTAGTTACAGTAATACGGTTTCAAATTTCAGTACTCAGATCTTATCATAATTACGGTAATGCCCTTGGTTGCGTGCCAACTGTGTTCCAGGAATAGAATCGGTCTTTTCTCATGCTCAACATAGTTCGTTCTCATTTTCGCAGATGAGCCATTTATTGGGGCTTGAGTATTTTCATGCATCATTGAGTCATCCCCCATGCCTAGCATGTTCCTTACAAGGACTGACTCACTGTTGTTAGCTTTGCAATCTTTCCTTCTTGTTTTGTTCCTTGTCACAGGATGGTACCATCATGGATTTGTTTTGGCTTTACATGTTTGGACTTCGCTATAGCCTAGGAGTTGGCTACATTCCAGTACAATCCTCTGTACTTCTGCCTCTGCTGATGGGGTCAAGCCCAGTGTGACTAATCAAGGATGATGAAATTGATTTTATAATTGTATGTATAACCACAGTTTTCGAAACCTGCTGTGGTCTTAGCCCAGCTGAAACACCATCATTCCCAATTTTAGAAGCCACC